TAGCTACAACACAAGTGCAGCACCCTGGAGCCTACCGGAAGCTTCTGGGCCCAGGCCCAGTCCAGACAGGCTGGAAAGGCAGGCAGGCCCTTTCCATATAGGAAAGAGCTCGCCACTGGCAGCCTCATTCAGGCACTCGCATGCTAGCGGCAGCGCTGCTGGAGCAAACGCTCGTGGGCTGCTGCTGGCGCTGAGAGGCGAGGTGCTAGCGCGTGCGGTCGTGCAGGGAGCAGGGCGCTGCTGAGGGCAGTGCCATAGCCCAGCCTCCATAGCTGGTTGGGCTTGGACTACAGTGAGGCGCAGGGGTGGTCTGCGAGTGTACAGAGGGAAGACGTGGGAGTAAGACAGGGGGTAGAGAGAAGGATGATGATGATGGTGATGTGAGGGCACATACCTGGTATTGGCAATGGGCGGCATCTTCAAGTACTTCGTAGGCTGCTGCCGTCAACAGTTGCATTGTCAATTAGTAGGCAGAGAGTAGCTGTGTGGGAAGTAGGCTGGGCGCCGGGCGCGAAGTAGGGAGATAGGCCCTGGACAGTCATGTTGGTGGTGGCGAGAGCAAGCTCTCATTGACATTGGTTTTCAGTGTTACGAATCTTCATTGGTGTTATATTGGTGCATTTCTGCTTTCTGGACACTGATACTATCTGGCCTTCAATGTGATTGTGCAATCTGGTTATTGTCATTTTGCTAATGCTCATTTTCCTTGCACAATCTTTAATAGCGGAAGAAAAAATGTCCACGGACGAGGGGAAATTCGAACACATGACGATGAGATCCCGTTCTGTGTATGGGAAACAGAAACAAGGGGGAGGAGGGGGAGGGGGGGGAGGAGGGGAGGGGGGAGGGGAGGGGGAGACACAGAAAAAAAAAACAAAAAAACCCAAAAGAAACTAGGCTATCAGCTGGGCCACCCGGGTCACCTTATTTTCCTGGGCGGCTCAGCCATGCAAGGACCAGAGAAGGTCCCAGCCCCCCCCAAAAAACAAAAAAAATCCAAGAACTCCAAAAAAAACTCTTACGCAGAACGATAAACTGAACCTTTCCCTCAGGGTTACATCAAATTTAAAATATAAAATAAAATTAAGAAAAGTTTCTTCTTCGTTTTTTTTTTTGGCCCGGCCGGGCAAGTGGTCCCGGGGCCTTGACCCACTACCATTCGGTTTTGCTTCGTTGTTGCGTGTGTGACATCCGTGCCAACCGCGGATCGTAATTTCATCACTCGGTTGCGACGGTATTTGGGGCATTTTTTTAATCGCACAGACGGACCTAGAGGCGGTCTGTCATTGGCAGGCTTTTCGTTTTATGAATCGGCAGGGCAGGCAGCAGGGTTCTGGTTTCTTGCATGTTATAGAGTTTGCAAGACACGAGAACACCGCCTATGTACGCCCGAGGATTCCTTCTGAATAAAACGAAAAGAATACACACACACACACAACAACAACAACAACAACAGCAACCAAAAAAAAAAAAAAAAGAGTAACCTCTCACGTAAAATATCTGCCAAAAGAAATTACAATGAATGCGCATCACCGTGACAATGCACGGACCACAATGCTGCCCACCCCAATGCTTTCTGCTGCTCTATCCACACAATCCTCCCCATCCACGGACCCGTCCACGGCAGGTATGCAAGCGACCACCAGAGATATGGCCGGTACCAGGAAGACGGGACGGAACCAGAGGACCAACAGAGCTATGTGTGAGGAACGAGCCCTCATGGGGCCCTATCAGACATCACAGGTTCTGGGCAGAGGCCCCCAGCAAGCCAAGTGCCTGCCCTAAGTGAAGGCGGGCCTGAATATTCATTAGAGGCCAAAATTCGACACTTTCATATGCAGGTGTTCAGGCTCTTGCAGCACGCCAGTTGGTCGAAGTGGGGGCGCGAGCCTCACTAAGCTGCGTCGTACAGTTGGCCCAGGCCCTGGCAGTTGCGCCTGGTCGCATATACACAAAGCAGGGCCGATACATCATGAAGCGGCCACCGGCCTACCTACCCCGGGGTCCTGCACAAATGCAGCAAACAGCCTAAGTCCGGAGACTCAGGCTGTGCCCAACTGTAAAGGGCCCAGGCCCTCAACTGTAGGCTCGGGCCTGGGCGCAAGGACCGAGGCCCAACCAGAAGCTACTGGAAGCTTCCAGCCAGGCCACACGCAGCATCCAGGAGGCTGCCACTTCCATATAGGAAGTGAGGCAGCCCAGGCCAGGCATTCTGGCCTGCGCAGGCAATGCGGTCACGCTGCTGCGCTGCTGCATTGGATGCTGCACTATGGTAAGGGCGTTGGCGGGGCGCGCAGAGCTGAAGTGGGGTGCTGCAGGGCAGCGGTGCACTGGCAGCCATAGCCGGGCTGCTGGGCGCTAGGGGGTAAGAGGGGGCGATCTGGTGGTCTTCAGGGAAGGAGGGGAGTGTGGATTATCAAGGTCTGATGAGGGTGACGAGATACATACCTGGTGCATGAAGAGAGGTCGGCTATGGTGTTGCCATCGTGTACATTGGTCTTGGAGAGTCAAAGCGAGCCTGTTGCGTGAACACAGCTGTAGGTAGGATAGTCGAGTAGAGTAGGCTGGGCGCTGGGCGCCAGACAGAGAGGAGCAACTTTGGATACTGTGTTGGTGTGGCCTGAGGGCTTGAACATTGGCTCATTACTTCATTGTATTGCTCTATTTGGATGGATTCTCGGCGCAATTGTGCTCTCGGCGTGTACACGACTTCATGGACATCTGTGTGATTTCGCAATTTGGTTTTCTGTATATCGTTCACACTCATATTCCTTGCATATGCAAGCAACCACAGAGTGTGGAAAATGAGTTCGGCGGTGTCGGCCATCAATTGACTAAACAGCGATCAGCCTTCGTCCGTGGGCAAGGCTGGGTAGGCTTTATCGTCACACACTATGGGCTCCACTCCACATGCATAAAAGACAGCACTCCTCGTGGTGTATCTTTCCACAATTACGGAGAACATTCATTCTCATTTACCAGTGTGTTGAGTAGTGGAGCGAGGCCCTATGTCCATGGAAGGGGCGGATACGTTTGGGACAACAAAACTGAATTCGTCGGCAGAGGCGACAGACCTGCGAAGGCCTCATGATGACATCCTCGACTCAAATTACCTTCTTCTTCCCACCACAAGTGTATTAACACCTCCACACACTGTCCCACGCCGCCACACTGTGCACGTAACCAAAACAAAACCCATGGTAGTGGGACATGGCCCCCGGGCCACTCTGGTAGGCCTAGAAAAGACGAAAACACACACACACACATGCACAGACACACACAAAAAAAAAAAAAAAAAAAAAAAAAAAAAAAAAANCAAAAAAAAAAAAAAAAAAAAAAAAAAAAAAAAAAAAAAAAACACGGGAGACTCCGCCACCTGGCAAATGGAAATACGACGACCATGAACTTCCTGTGATGCCTGTGGCAGAAGTAAAAGAGCGGAAATTATTATTAGTAAGAAAAAAGAAAAAAGAAAAAAGAAAAAAGAAAAAAGAAAAAAGAAGCCATCACACAACAACGACAAGTTGCGAAATCCGAAATCCAAAAAGAGCACAACTCCGCATCGAAGCGGAACTCGAGCTCAACGCACCCACAACACACAAGCGGCAAAATTTGAACATCACACACTTATATATACCGAGTCGAAATGAAACCGGAGCTCAACAAACGAACCCACAACGACGACGGACATGCGGCAAAATCCAGACAGCAGAATTATTATATATACTGAGTCCGAGTGAAACTGGAGGTCGAAGAATCCACAACACGCATGCGGCAAAATTGAAACAGCACAATAATCCTAATGGAAGTGAAACAGGAGCTCAACCAAGCCACACACGACACGTGCGGCAAAATTCGAACAGCAGAAGATACCGAGTATACCGAGTCCAATAGCAACTGGACTGGAGCAAAATCAGCAGCGCCCCCACATTGCTGCAGTGGTGGCGAGGTGGTGCGGACGTAAACATCTCGCACACACCCACAACTTGATGCGCAGCGAAATTATAAAGAAAATTAAAAAACAGATTCGACAGAGCTGGCGATTGCCCTCAGGGTGGTAGGGGTTGAATCGTGTGATCTGAACGCAAATCGAAATTCCGTTGAAGAAGCAATCCTGAAAGCGTCAGCCTGATGAAAAAATGCGATGTGAGGCAGGATGTTCTCAGACAGCGGCGGCGAATCGTCATCATCATCGATGAATCTGCTGGCTCCAACAAACTTCTTAATAGGCTACAATCATTACACAATGATGATGCTGTGAAGACGCATGCTATAAAAACTATTAAAAAGCCAATTCCATAGTCTTTTCTGAAATGTTCTGCTAAATTTTCTCAAACACATAGTCGACGGATAGTGCTAGCTATGACACCATGTTTCAAGCAACACACACAGCAACATGTGGAGTCAGCAAACACATGCTATACTTCCCTACGTGACGTGAACCTGAGACTCTGAGGATAAACGTCCTGCCAAATACAAGAAGCCACCACGTAAACAGAACTCCAAAAGCAAATTCCCTTCAACACCACAGATCTAGCAAATGGATTCACCTCGATGCTGCTGCTGCCACTGCTGCTGCTGCTGCAGCTACTACTGCTCTTCCTCCTCCTACACCGCCTCCTACCCCTCCTCTTACCCCTGCTGCTACCACTAGTACTCCTCCTCCTCCACCTCCTCCTACCCCTTCTCCTCCTCCTACTGCTAGGAGGAGGAGGAGGAGGTAGCAGTAATACTACTGTTACTGTTGCTACCTCCTCCTCCTCCTCCCACTCCTCCTCCCACTACTACTACTACTACTACTACTACTACTACTACTACTACTACTGCTGCTGCTGCTGCCGTCGCCGCCGCTGGCTCTCCTGCTGCGGCTGCTACTACTGCTGCTGCTGATTGTACTGAGGAAAAACAGAAAACAGAGATACAGTAAAGACAAATACCTTAGACACACACTTGTGGTAAGGAAATGTGTTTAGCAGTATGTGCTGCCGTATAGCATGCATAGTATACGCAGCAGTTTATTTCAACATGAGAAGTGACGTGCAGTAATTCTGCGTTTGACAACAAAAATGGAATTCTGTGTTTGACAACAAAAAATGGTTCAGGGTTGCATACAGAAGCACATGCGACCGAGGAGAGCTCCAAATGGCACAAAAAAACACAATGAATACGAAGAGACGATGTGCACATAGTACATAGAGGCAAGGATGTACTATGTACTCGTACACAGTCTTACACATGCACATGCACAAAGGACAGATAACTTGATAAGTACATGGGACATATAGACAAGAGCGCATGGTACCTGCATAGCTCAACATATACACAGACAAGCACATAGTACTACATAGTACATTGTACTTGTCCACAATTTCAGACACGCACATGTACAAGAGATGCACAGCTCTCTGACGAGTGGCCGCCACCAGCTGCACATAGTACATTCATACAGGACATATCTACAGAGACATGCACACCACATAGTACATGCATAGCACACCTTATCTCACAGAGAAACGCACACTACATAGTACATACATAGCACACCATACCACATAGTACATTATACTTGTACACAATTTCAAACATGCACGTGTACTGGAGATGTACAGCTCTCTCTGATGAATGGCCTCCACCAGCTGCGCATAGTGTACATACATAGCACACCATATCCACAGAGAAACACACCACACAGTACATACATAGCACACCATATCCACAGTTTCAGACATGCACATATACACATAACGAAGTACATGCTCAACCCCAGTTTCACGACACGAGACAATACTCGGGTCTACATAATGCATATTAAAGCTACACAGAGCACGTGTACACCGATGAATATAATTCTATCACGCGAGTGAACACACATGAATATATCACACATTCACTGCGCAACGCAACCTCTGTCAGGGCCCGTTATAGCCTCCGTTAGCCTCCGCTAGCCCCCATTAGCCTCATTATAGCCCTCTCCCTATTCATCTAAGGAGCATCACATCTCGGGCGTCGGAAACTTCTTCTTCATCTACAACTCAGCAGCTGCAACTCCAACGGCTCATGCCACCCCTCCTCGCGGTATCGAGAGGCTTCTCCAAGACGAAGAGCCACCAACATCGAAACTACCTGTGGGGTTTTCGTGAGTTTTCGTAATTCCGCCCGATACATCTTCCATTGCGTGTTAATGTTGGCGCATGTCCGTTTTCCTAAGGCTTGATGTAACACACACAGAGTCCACACACCCAGCCGAGGGACACCGAGAATTATGCAACCTCCGTCTCCCCTCACCCCACCCCGGCCTTCCCCCTTCCACTTTCCTGAAATGGCAACCAGATTCCCCCAGATTCCAAATCCGTCCCCCCCCCTCCTCCCCCAACAACAACAAAACCTGCTCTGCTGTGCTCTCACTCACTGCTCTCTACATGAAGTAGGTTAACTGTTCCTTCTTTTTGCCGGAGCCGCCTTCTCCGTACTGCTCGTTCCATTCTTCCAGCTCTTTCATGATCCCTGTGCCGCTCGCTACGCTTGCACACACCTGCACAATTCATAACAATGCATTAGAATTTGTAAGAATGGATTATTCGCAACAACGGAGTACAATTCATAACAATGATTTACAATTCAAAACAATACTTTACAACCGGACTGTTGCCCACCGAAATAGCAGGGGCGGTGTGTGTTTTGGGTTAAAAAAATATATAATAATTAAAAAAAAAAAAAAAGCATGATAATACCACGAGATGCTCTATGAAGTGTGTCAAAAGATAACGACTAGGAAATAGCACAATCATCAATCAGTGGGGAGAAGCACTGCAGGAGCGTGCAAACTCATCCGACTAGAAACGTTTCTACTCTATTTTTTTCCCGCGGCCGATAGCTGTGCCGAGTACCGGTGGTTTAAGCAGAGAGGACTAGCACAAGCAGACTGCACACAACCACCGGGCACTTGTGGTGTGGTAGCGCTACCGTCTTCACCTGAATAGAACACCCGGTCATTATAGCCGTATTTGGGGCAAAGTTCAGTCCAGATGCGACCATAATAACCGGGCGTGCTATTTTGCACAGCAGATTGTGCCTGCCTAGCACTAGTGGCACCTTCCCCCGACCGAACACAACAGACCCTCATCATGAATGTATAAAAGCTAGTACCATCATGATGTGGGTGCATTACGTTCCTGGGGAAGACGACGGTTGTGCCCAGCGCTGTGGCCAACGGCTAATTGCCTAATTGCCCTCCATCCTCAAGCGCTCTTACCTCCTTGTGAGCGCCTCTGATATGTATCAGTTGAACCACCAGTACCTAATGGTTGGGGCGGTCGTTACCACGGAGGCTGCATCGGCCTGCCCCTGCGGTCCAAATTCATTCCAGGGCGGGGGGTTACCAAGAATGCGGTAGGTACTGGTGGTTTAAGGTTGTTGAAAGGTCAGCGAGGTCTTGCTCAGGCTCGCCGAAGGCGCAAATGGGGTCTCTGGATGGTAGGGCACCAAGAATGCCCATGCTTGCTGCCCATACATTTAGACTATGCGGGGCAGCCAATGGGAATTGAACCCACAACCTCCAGAATGCAGCCCCTGTGGCTTCCCAATGGTGTCATCGTCTTCACCCACATAAAATGCACACCGCATTGCACGGTCGTTATCGCTGTGTCTTGACTGAAAGTTGGCCCAATTATAGAGCCATAGCAACCAAGCGTTCTATTCCGGTGAAGAAGGTCAGTCCATCAGTTGCGCTAAAATTAATACCAGTCTGCCTGAAAAGAAAAGAGGGAACGTGGCAGTCTTGCTGCAGCAGAGGTCCTGGAGCAATGTGCAAGGGTGCATCGGTGCAAGAGGGCATCGTTGCAAGAGGGCAAATTGTGGGCAGAAGAGGAAGGAGGCGGCGGGGGCAGGGAGGGCCAAACACCTGAGGTCCTTGCACCTGTCAAGCAGGCTATTTTGTACAAAAAGTTCTTCACCAGCCTCTTTCCCTTTTGTTTTCGTTTTTTTTTTTTTTTTTTTTTAAGAGGGTAAGTACGATCATGTCACCTTTTGAGTATCGAATCAGCAAAAGAAACACATGTCCGCAAAGAAAACCGCGCCGAGTTCCAAAAAGGCCACGGAAGTGCCGACGGCGGTGGCATCAGACTGGGTGTCATATTTACAGGGGTCGGCCGTGGTGTCAGAGGGGGAGACCAGAAAAAAATAGCAAATTCCCAACGGATACTTTTGGACCGAAAATTGCTCATTTAGAGTTGGAGCATGTTTTTTTTGCCGGCGCGAGTTTTTTTGCCCTTAGGGTTTCAAAACGTGCCGCGTCTGCCATTATTGGCTACGAAGAGGCCAGAAATTTCTGCTGCGTTGGGGCCCCCTTTCTGCCGCAAGCAACACTGTATTACTGCCAGAGGATTTCCAGGCGCCTATCAAATCTTCGTTCTCTTTTTTCTTTTTTTTTTGACACAAAAAAATTCTGGCATCATCAAAAGGGGTAGGGGTCAAGCCTTCAATCTGATTTGCACCGACAATGCAGTGGGGTGAGTGGGGTCCAATCTTTCATTCTTTTTTTTTTTTTTTTCCGGACACAAAAAAAAAATAATTCAATTCACATGAAGAACAATTCGGATCGAGGCGGGTTGAACCCGAAACTTATCCTGGGACGACGTCCCACTTCTGTTCTGCCGAACGAAGGCCTTGCCTAAATCTGGATGTGTTTTATGTAGAGATGCAGAAAAGCAGTTTAATCTCGATTTCCTGCACCTCTCCACAAACACGTCCAGATGCAGGCATTCGATACGATCCTTTTTGCTAATGGGACCACGCCCCTGGCAGCAATAGCCAGTTTCGCTTATCGAACACTCATTCACGTAAATGGTAAATCTCATTCAACTGAAAAATAGCGACTACTTAGAGATATGCCGTTGGTCCCCCCGAGTGGCATTGAGCAGAGACTGCTGATGCTCATAGGGGGAGGGGACCGGAGGGGAGGCACAGTGACTGGCCCATCGAAGAAGCTCGGTCCTGATGCTACCGGCTGACCCCTGGCCGGTATCGCCCACCTGCTGTAGCAGGTATCGCACCTGCTGGTGGGTGCAGCCCCCGGCATGTTCCCTCGTTGGAGGCTTGAGCACAGATGTGGCTGCTACGGGGTTCCCCGTAGTACTATAATGACAATTAAAAAGGCCTGAAAGGCCGTCCTGTCCAGATTTGACAGGTAATTGAAATGGTTGGGCTTAAAGAATTAGCCTTAAAAAAAAAAAAAAAAAAAAAAAAAAAAAAAGCGACTACTTCCTCTGCTTCCACCAAAGAAGCGACGGTTTTCGGAGAACTGCCTGCAGTCCTTTTATTCTCTATTTTTCTTCTGGGTTCCATTTTTATTTTTATTTTTTTTTTCCCCTCCCTGGGTTCTTTTTTATGTTCACAGGAATTTGGATTCCGATGTGTTTTTCATGTTTTTTTTCCTCCTTTGCTAGAAAATCATATGTAAAACACAGGCCACATTGGCGGAGATTTCACAACGGCCTGTGGAGTATGGAAGTCTCCAAAGTTTGACTTGCGTTCAAGTTTTAACTACTTAAAAAAAAAAAAAAAAAAAAAAAAGTTTTAACTATGATGCAAGTGGTGCAGAGGATATGGTTCTCCCTCGCTTGAGACGTGCTGATGACCATTCCCCCTTCCCCCCCCCCCCCCCCCCCCCCCCCCCCCCCCCCCCCCGGCCCCCCTTCTTTGTAATAAAATAAAACCTGTTCTGACACAGTGAAAATTAGCATTGCCCCTGCGCAAAGGATGATATGTGTAAATCGGGAAATTATGGCTTCCCTCGCCCCCATCACCCTCCGCCTGTGCCATTTCGCCTCTTTGTCTAGACAATGACACATGCAATGAGATTCAATGTGCTAACCAGGCAAAGAAGACCCCCCAACTCAACCCCCCTTCTATGCCATAGGCTAACAGCTGAATGTGGGTCTGGGTATCGGCTCGGGCACAACCCCCTCCAAATCCATGACCTATTTCTGGTTCACTGGGAAGCTGTGGCAAGTACCACAGTTTTTTTTTTTTTTTTTTTGGGTGTTGTTTACATCGCAACTACATGCATTGTTATACAGGGGATATGCTGTGCCTTGATTTTTATTTTCCTTCCTTTTTTTATTTTTATATATATTTAACCAGCACTACGTTTTCCATACATCGGTCGCGGGCTAGGCCCCATGAGTTTCAGAAGCCACCAACGCAACAAAGGTCGCCGATGAAATTTATCAATGGCGGCCCCAACAATGGCCCGATCCCCGAAGAATTCGGTATATGTTGTTTGTATTCTCCCTTGGGACTACAGTGAAAAATCGTCTCTGTAGGGCTTCTTCGAGCCCCAAGCAGACTCTGGAGTTGAGAATACGTACGTACACCTATGGGGCTATGACCTTTCACGTAATTTGTTTTGTGGGGCTTCTTTGAGCCCCAAGTGGACTGCGGAGTCGTGAACCTTTTCACCTACCTTTTTCCCACGAACACAACGTACTACGGTAATTATAGCTGTATTTGGGGTATCATTCATTCTAAGTAGAGTTATAATGACCGTGCCTTGTATTCGGGGGAAGAAGGTAGTATGGTCTTTCACCTTACGTTTTGCGGTGCAGTGTGAAAAAAAAGTTTTTTTTCCGACGGTTGTGAGAATGCAATTGGATGAGCATGTTTCGGCTCGACTGCCTCGACAATCGTACATTATATAACAACGCAATGGGGAGAGGGGCACCGTAGTCTTCTAGGAACTTGTAGCAGGGGATAGAGACCAAGGCCTCGGGACATTAGAGCTGAATTTTGCACTGAACTCCCCGTCTTCACGCGGTCATGGTATCTGTACTTGACACAACTTTCGATTCAGCTGCAGCGATACTCGACCGGCCATTCTTTTTTCGGGTGAAGAGAGTAGGGGCAGGCCTCACTGGTGCTATATTCACGCTTAGCAGCCATGAACATGCCCATAAAAAGGGGCAGATTTGCACTACGATTTTCCCCGAAACACAACATACCCTTGTCATCATGACTGTATCAGGCCGGAAAGGTAGCTTGCCGACGTTCCTAATAAGGATATGTTGTTTTCGGGTGAATCAACAGCAGCAACGGCATGACGGCTGCATCCAACCCGTTCCACCAGATCGTGCTGGACGATGAACGAACAACCTTCTTCTTCGAGGGTCTTCTAGCAGGGGATAGGGGCCAGGCCTAGAGGGTTGTCAGGGATCTGTACATATTACCAGTGAATTGCACGGAATTGCACGGAACTAGGGCAGGCCCAACCGGTGGGTGCTATATTTGGAATCCGATCAGATTCACACTAGCATAGCACAAACATATGGCCTTATAGAAGGGGGGATTAGGGGTCTGGTCCAAGCCGGTTTCGCTAAAGGGCAGGCACCACTTGTGCAATATTCATGCTTAGAAGACAGGAACCTGGTCATAACAGGTGGCAGATTCATACTAGCCAAACGCAAACATAGCACCAGTGGGCCCCAGCCCTGCACTAGATTTCGCGACAGGTCTAGAGGGGCGATGGAAGCAGTCTGGTTCCCTGGGAAGTCTCTGACAGCTTACGTTAGATTGACGTTAGATCCGTTGTCATGTAGCGAATGGGCGCATGATTGAGGTGGTCTAGGAAATCTGACAGTGTAGGTTAGATTGAGGTTAGATTCTTCTTCCTCCTCCTCTTCTTCTTTTTCTTTTCTTTTCTTTTTTTATTATTAGATTGAGCCTCATCGAGGTTGGATTCTTTTTCTTCATCATATTTTTAATAATATTCTCTTTTACTCTTATAAAGGAAAACGCAGGTCTCGCATGACGCTCCCACGCGAGCCTTGGCCGGCTAGTGTTGCAAAAAACCGTGGGGAGCACGCCCGGGCCCATCCAAAGGCCCTGCTGTTTCCAATTCACGTGGCCCCACATATGTTTGTTTGCATATGAGTACACAGTGTAGTGAAGGGAGAGCAGTCTTTTTTTTTTTTTTTTTTTTTTTTTTTTTTTTCTGGGAGTAGATTCACCCGTTAGATTCACTGTTTCTTTTTTTCAGAAGATTTGAAGGGACGATGCATTGCCACAGCCAGTGGACCTCACCACAGGCACAAAAGACAAAAGTTATGGCGGTGTAGCTTTCCATGGGGCCTCGCTGAACTTCTCTCCACATGCACAAAAGACGAAAAAGATGGCAATGTATCTTTCCATGTTCTAGCGGGGGGGAAAGACAGTCTCATTTTGCACATTTGGAGAGTAGTGCAGCCAGGAGTCCCATGGGGTTTCGCTCCACTACTCTTATAGACTCTCAAAGATTTTCGAGAGCGAGTCTAGAGCTCTGTCAGACTCTAGAAATGACCGAAAAAGCGAACATTGGGCTCGCTGCACTACTCTCGACATGCACAAAAGACAAAAATCATCGCGGTGAATCTTTCCATATTCTAGTAAAGGATTCACTCTTGTTTTGCACATTTCGAGAGTAGTGCAGCGAGGCCCATTGCTCCACTTCGGGCCTCGCCACACCACTGTAACATAATTAGATTATTATAATTATCAATATGGATATTTGATTTATTGTACATATTATATTGTGATTCAGATTGAGATTGATTGATGTATTTCTTTTTTTCTATCTATTCTCTGCATATATCTCTGCATATATGTTATTGTTTCATAGTAATTAATTTGATTCTAGTTTTCATTTACAATATCATATATGTATATATTCATATATAGATATTAATATTATAATTGAATACAATTGCAATATATTACGATATTATTTATGATACTATTATTCTTCTTCTTATTTATTACAATTATATAAATATATAGCTTTATTCTACTCCATATTTCTATTTTTATCTATTTTTGATTATTTATGAATTCTTGCATTTATTTGATCAGGAAAACTCATTTTTTTTAAATTTGATAGTTTTGCTATACATATTTTTTTTTACAAAATATAATATATTGTAAATATATTGTTTTAACACTAATACTAATTCATACTAATAGAATAAAAATTGAACAATAAAAATACAATAAAATCGTGAAATAAATGAATGTTTTGATATTTCGAATTATCGAAATAAATTAGTAATAAATAAGTACTTGGTAATATTCAACGAATAAGCTTGAATCATACTTATATTACTTGTTTCATTAATGAGACGGAAAGAAAGAAAGAAAGAAAGAAAGCGGCAAGCCACTCACTTTGTGTCTACTTTCAATTCTAATTTGCTGGATTGATCGATGCTGAGGCTTTCTTTTACGTATGTATTGTATGGTCGGTCTTGTGAAGTTCAGAAAGGCAAAAAAATTGGACGGCTGTCAGAACAAATTTGAACTGCCTCCATTCCACAGTTTGGCCCCCCTTTTAGCCACACAGCACTGTAGAGTGCACGCACTTGCGAAAGCAAGATGGAAAACGATGAACGCGCCTGACGGTACGACAAGCATTAGTCCATCCCGAGCTTATCCCCACTCACCAAATTTTGAAGAGAAGTCGATGGCCCAGCCGAGGACTGTCGAAAGCATCGGAGTAGCGGGCTGGGGATTCGACAACTTTCGACTCGACAGTGGTGTGGCCTAAGGGCCTCGCCACACAGGCTGTCGAAATGCGCAAAACGAGAATGAACTTCCCGCTAGAACATGGCCAGCACGCGTTGTCCGCCCAGACTCCAGGTGCACTCTAAAACAAGTGCTCAACTTTCTAAGGTCCTCCCTTGAAATGCCTCCGGCAGCCTCCCTTGAAATTGCCGCTGCTGCAGGCGGGCGCTCTTGAACTGTCAAGATTGCCATGGGAGAGAAGGAAAAACTTTTCGGCTTTTTCGAAGACTCTCTGACAACTCGAGGAAAAAAAAAAAAGCGTTTTCCTGAGTGCATTTTTTCATGAGGTAGTTGCAGGGCCTCGCTGGACTACTCTCGACATGCACAAAAGACAAAAATATTGGCGGTGTATCCTTCCATATTCTAGCGGAAGATTCACTCTCGTTTTGCACATTTCAAGAGTAGTGCAGTGAGGCCCGCACAATGACGGATTTTCATCATTTTCATGAGTGCAGACTGACAGCTCAAAAACCTGAATTCCAGACCCGACGTCTAGAGTGAGTGGAGCGGTGCCGCACTCAATAAATGGCCTGTTTCTAGAGCAGTGGAGCGAGACCCATGGTCTAGCGGAAGATTGGGCGTCGCTCTACCACTCCAGAAGTGCACAAAAGACAAAAATCATGGCGATGTATCTTTCCTTGTTCTAGCGGAAGATTCACTCTCGTTTTGCACATTCCGGGAGTGGTGGAGCGAGGCCCATTGGTTTGAACTTTGCCCCGTCCGCTACTCACGACCTGCACAAACAAAAGACAAAAAGACTGAAAAGTAGATTTGTTTTGTTTTTTTTTCCTCTTTTTCCACAAATTTCCAGTAGATTTACTAGATTTGTTTTCGTTTCGTCTTTTTCTGAGAAGAGGCGATGCCATGCCACAGCCAGCCCGCCTCACTGCATGCAGAAAAGACAAATGGTGAGTGGGGGCGCCTGCACATGAAAAAAAGACAAAAGTATGGTGGTGTATCTTTCCATGTTCTAGCGGAATATTTGGAGAGCAGCGGAGCGAGGAAGGGAACAAGAACATACGCCCCACTCCGCACAAAAGAGAAAAAAATGCAGCGGCATATCTTCGCAGGTTTTGGGGGGAGATTCATTCTCATTTTGCACACATTTGGTGAGCCGTGGAGCCAGGCCCATAGAAGGCTCCGTCGACTGTGCTTTTATTTTTTTTCTTTCCTGGCTCCGTCGACTGTGCTTTTATTTTTTTTCTTTCCTGGCTCCGTCGACTGTGCTTTTATTTTTTTTCTTTCCTGACATTGCTCTTAGGACTAGTCCTAAAGCCGACACTCCCAGGATAGGTGGAGCGCCACCGCCAAAATTCCAAAATTTCCCCGAGAATTCATCCTCAGAGCTGGAGGACGGCCTGAGGAGTGTCTAACGATGCCCTTAGTCCTTGAGGAGACGACTACTTAGAAAAGCAGGTCTATTCCCATCAGAGAATAGCTATATGTGACCGAGTTGATAGTCTATAGTTGGTACTTGAGGAGAGTCTATAGTTGGTACTTGAGGAGAGTCTATACTTACTCCTTGACGACAGGACACAGGTCTGTTTCCCTCCGAGTCCTTGACGACAGGACACAGGTCTGTTTCCCTTCGAGAATATGCACCTATACTACTATAGTCTATAGATGATTGCGTTGACCTATAGACTATAGTCTAACTCTTGTCAGCACAGTTCTTCGCTGACACTGGAGTCCAACAATTATACAAGCAGTGGTCACCCGCATGAGTGCCTTTTTTTACTTAGTACAGGTCTGTTTCCGTCAGAGAATATAAATAGCTATACACGATCGAGTTGATAGTCTATACATACTACATAGTACTTCAGGACAGTCTATAGTTGGCACTTGAGGAGAGTTTATACTAACTGCAACACTCTTCTGCCTATCATCACCCAAACAGGAGGGGAATACGGTATACCTTTTTTTTTT